CCTATGCTTACTACTAAAATTCAAAAGTCAACAGGCTCTGAACATTTATCATATAGATACCACAGAGTATCTCTGAACAGTACAAAGTTTTTTTGTTGTTGCTCCTCCCAAAATACAGTGAAGACTCCCTATATATAGTAAAAACTCTATTATGTTACAACGTTATAAATAAATAAAAACACAAAAATCTATTCTACTTAGAAATAATACTTATCATTGTTTATTCCGTACTTTTTTTAAAAGACTGGTATTATAATTTTATTTTAAATCACATTACCAATGTCCCAATTAACACACCATAACTGCTAATCATCCTATCTTTAAATAAAAACTGTAAAAATAATTGCTAAATTTTTGAGAAATTATATAACAAATTTCCCCAAAAACCTTTAAAGTTGGTTCAATGTTTCTATCATCATATTGATTAAGATCCTGATCACTCAGGATTTCAGTCTTGTACAACTGAAGGCTTCTCCAAAGAACTGTAAGTTTTTTCAATTCAGAATATTACTACCTCTTCATCCTCACTATCCATGACCTTTAAAAGGGAAACAGCAAGAAACGTCACCTAAAGGTTTATTACTGTTTTAATTCTACCAAGAAAATACACCAAAAACGGAATTTCACATACCAGAAAATACTTTCCTTAATCAGAATCTGAAGGAAGATATCTAAAAATACTCAGTATTAACTAATATGGTTACTCCACAGTGAAGTTAGAATTTTTAAAAAGTATTTGTCCCTAAAGTTTTGAGTTCTGAAATGTACAGGATAAACAAACGGCTACTATATGTAAGAATGAAAAGAAGCCTTATATATTTTAACCTAGTCTTAATTTGACAATTTCATTCCCTATTAACAGAACACATGGATGAATCAGAAAAAAATCTTAGGCAAAAACTACTATACTAATGCTACTAGATATTTTGTGGAGTGTATTTATTTCAAAAATTAAAGAGAGTATATAAACGTGCACTTGAAATAACTGCAATTTACTGGCTAACATACAGCAAATGATCAGTCTTACTCTTAGTATGGATACATAAACTTTCTTCAAATTTGGTTTATTTTTCCTACTAGCTTTCTATGCTTCAATTTATCATGATTTAACTCTGTGCCTTTCTCTTGAGCACATATAATGAAAAATTTTTATTTCCCCTTAATCCATAAATATTTACTCTTCTCAATAACTCCTAAATATTTCATTGTGAAAAGTTAAAAACATCAGATGATAAAAACTGTAAGCTAAATATGGAACTATAAAGCTCATCTCACAAATCTATAAAATATCAATTATAAATGAAGCAGATCTAAAGAGGTTAAGTGACTTGCTCAAGCCCACTTACTGCATAATACAAAGCTGGAACATAAAACTTTCTGACTAAAGTCCAATGCTTTATCCACTCTATTATTTTGTCTTCCAATGGGAACAGAGGTTTCAACTAATCCAAATCTATCTATTTCTTGACCTTTTAAACTATGGTATACTTTACTATCACTTTAATTAAGAGAATCAAATTAGGTTCAACAGCTGTTTACTAAGATTGTATAGAGGCAAATGCTGGGATATGGAAAAAGGACTAGAGCAAACAAGTAATACAGAATAAACCTTTCTTTTTAAAATTGTCAAAATGTCATTTGGAAAATAGAAATGATTCAAAGTCAAAAGATACTAGACCAGGGTTTGAACTCAAAACCTCTTGAAATATCTTAAAGGATTAAATTATGTAGGAAAAAACTAAGTCTTAAAATGTATTTTATGACTGAAAATCTGTATACCATACACACATGTGACATATCTCCACTAATCAACGCATCTTTCCCTTACACCCCAAGGTCCTTGAAGATGAGGGCCATGTGTCACTTTACTTTCTACCACCTAGTTCAGCATACTACCAGGCCCAATTACTGATCAAACAAGTTTGCCAAGCTAAAATGCTTTAGCATTCCTTTGATTTCCAGATTATGGAATAAGGTAAAAATGTGTAACAAAAACTCTATTGTGATGAAAATTTGCTTAAGCTGATCAAAAACACAGTCAAGAGATAATGTGTGGGCTGAAAGAAGAATACCATTGTCACTACTATCTTTTATGATATTGGATGGCCGGGGGTGGGAGGGTGGCGCTAAGAATTCAGACTTACTTCTTCCTCCCCACAAGGAACATTGTGCAGAAAAAAGGAAGGAATTTAATTAAGTCATCTTCATCCATATACAACAGTAACATTTATATGGAATTAAAGCACCACTAGTACTTTGTTGCCAAGAGTTAGGGCAAAAATAAATCATAACAGCAGGTAAAATTACTATTTTAGATAAAAATTGTTTATTTTCCTTCAAAAATTAAACAGCAGGCCGGGCGCAGTGGCTCACATCTATAATCCTAGCACTTTGGGAGGCTGAGGCGGGTAGATCACCTGAGGTCAAGAGCTGGAGACCAACCTGGCCAACATGGTGAAACCTTGTCTCTACTAAAATTACAAAATTTAGCCGGGATTGGTGGCGGGAGCCTGTAATGCCAGCTACTCGGGATGCTGAGGCAGAAGAATTGCTTGAAGCCAGGAGGCGGAGGTTGCAGTGAGCAGAGGTCATCGTGCCACCGCTCCACCCTGGACAACAGAGCAAAAACTCCGTCTCAAAAAATAAAAATAAAAAAATCAAACAGCAGGTACCATTTTAGACATAGTTATCTTAAGAGATATAGGTATATTTAACTTTAACTTTCAAGTGGTAGGTGAGAATAAAAGGAAATTTTTAAAATATTATAAATATTACCTTCTCTACGTATTAAAAAGTGAAAAAATCATATTTTGCATAATTTACATGAAAAACAGCACTACAGACCACTCATGGCTCTACCATCCCACCATTACTGAAAACGGCAACTTGCACTTAGTATTTATTATGTAACAGGCATTCTGTCTAGCGCTTCACATGCTGTATTTAATTCTCACAAACTCAGGTGGTAGAGATTACCGTCTATAGGTGAGGAAACTAACGCATGGGTAGGTTAAGGATTTGCCCAAGGAATTCAGATCCAAATGAGGTCAATGATATACATGTATCTTTTCAAATGTATGACATTAAACCATATAGAACTATAAAATTTTTATATGAAATGCATGTAAGTACAGATTTTAGCTGTCGACAGAACTGCAGTTCTTACAATAAATTCTCTAAATTATGTTAACTTAGCTGACATTCAAAAATTTGAAAGCATATCTAATACCACAATATGATTATCTCTGAATTTTATTCCTCTGAGAGGCTTCTAAGGCAAGCATGCCAAGACACAGGCTAAACTTAATTTTGGACAAAGTCTGTTTCAAGTTTTAAATCTATTAGGTCTGCTGTAAGTCAAACCTTGCCACTATCTCTACTGGAGGAAAGGGAACACTTAAAACTGACTCCCCCTCACTTCAATTTTCTCTGTTTTTACTAATTTGTTTTCATTCAAAAGTCAAAGGTCACTAACGATGTTTTCAGTCATGAATTGACTAATGTGATTAATTTCTAGAATTTACAAACTTGTGTGCTTCAGTGTTAACACATGAGTATTATTTTGACGAACAATTTAAAACAATGCTCCTGGCCACCTGTTCATGTTTCCTCTACTACTTCTAGGTAATTCCTCTCAGATGATTCTAATTTTAAGGATGAAGTTCCTACATTTAAAAATATAAAACACAAAAATAAAACATATGCTACTTAGTAAAAACAAACATTAAAGAATGCTCATATAATTTTATATGAAAAACTCCATATTAAAAATCGTAGCAGTGGGTTTTTACCCTGACCATAGTAACTGGCAGATTTCTCAAAAGAATGAGAAGTGGTGTGAAAATTCAGAAAAGTGGAAAAAAAAAAAAAGCTACATAAACATACTAGCACAGCTGGCTCTTGAGCTAACGCGAAGAGGGGGGCGAACACATTTATGAAGGCTATAATCGGGCTGTGGATTCCCTAAAGGGCATGTGATGCAATACTGGAGAGAAGCCTAAAGGAAAGGGATAGGTTGACAAAGGGGGTGCGGATGCCAGAGAGAGGGATGAGCCTGCGGGTGGCAGGGAGGAGGTGGATCACTAGCTAGTGCAGGGGTGTGTCAAAAGATGATTTCGGGGAGTGGGAAAGTGGCCCGACAGGCGAGGGTACGAGAGAGAAGGGAGGGTGGCGCAGACGGGAGGCAGGGAGGCTCCCGGGGAAACGGTGTGACATCTGGCGTGCGGAGCCGGCAGGGGGCAGAGCAAGCAGGATGTCACGTGGAGCAGGCGCTACGGGAGCCGAGAGGGTTGCGTACGGACAGAGGGGGGTCTTTCCCACCGCCTGAAAGACTGTTACTCACAGGAGTCGCGGACTCTTCTTGCCCTGAACTGGAGACGGGGACTTCGCGGCCTGGGGCTGCTGCCCGGGGACGTCGGGAGGCCTGGCGCTGGGGCTGCTCCTCCGCCGGCGGGGATACTCGGCCTTCCTCCGGCGGGACACAGCTGCAGCGGCGGCGGCGGCGGCGGCCGCAGCGGCCCGGCCACGATCCCGACCTCCCCTCAGCACGCGGCTGCTAGTGGTCCCTGCAGGCGCCGCCGCGGCCGCCTCAGGGGGCCGTTGTTGGGGCTCCTCCGGAGCCGCCTTGGCCGCCTCTCCCCCTTCCTGGTCCTGCTGCTCCGGGGGTCTCGGCTCTTCCGTCTCCCCCGGCATCGGGGCTTGTCCGTCCCCCACCCCCTAGTCCCAGGCGGCGGAGGCGGAGGCGGCGGCCTCGGCGCTGCTCCCCCCGCCCCCTCGCCTCCAGAAGCCTGCGGCTCACTCTCACCCTGCGCTCCTCTTTCCCCCCTCCCCTCCGCCCGGCTCCGAGGGCGCCCCCCCCACCCCCTGCCACTCAAGGTTTGCTACCGCTGGCGGCGCGCGCGCGCCCGCCACAGACGCTCAGCGGGCCAATCGGAGAGGAGGACAGTCTTCCTCACCCCGCCCCTCGCGGTCTTACACGCAGCGACGTTCCAGGTTCCCTCCCCCACCCCTTCCTTCAGCCAATCAGGAAACGACTAAAAGGGAGCGCGCGAGGTTTCCTTCCCCGCGCACCCGTTCTCACCGTTAAACGGCTGTCTCGCGACAATCCCAAAGTGACCTTTTCTCCCCCTCCAGAGTTCAATGCGCGCTAGGGGCAGTACGAAGGGGCAGGTCTCGCGAGGGAGGCGGGTGACAAGAAATCGCACCTCTTTCCCCGCCTCACGCGCACCCTAGACTGGCTGCGCGCGCACCTGCCTCCCTAAGGAGCCACTGATGCCGCAAGGGCTCTTTCTATTCTTCTTTAGGCCGCAGAGGTAGCCTGGGCGTTCTTCCTCCTCCACCCTACCCCACTTTCCTGTCTTTGGCCTTTCTGTCCCCAGCGCCGCCAGATCTTGCGCGGAGAAGGGGGTAGTATTTTGAGCTGTCGCTTCTCCTTTAAGAAAAAAAGCCCCGTCGGTTGCCGGATGAAAGTCTCTGAAAAAATGGCGGCGGCAAAACGGAGGCGGGGTTGTGGGTCAACGAGGGCCCGCCTCCTGGCGCATGTGCACCGTTAACTTAACCAAGGGCATTCTGGGAGATGAAGTCTTATTTCGCCTAGGCTTTAGAAAAAAATAGATGGCAAACTAGAGACAGAGAGGATGCTGGGAGGTTCTGACTGACTCACGACGGGAAAGGTAGTTTACTTTCCGCAGTCTAGCGTTTACTTTTTTTTCGGGAGGCAGTGTTTCCGGGTTAGGTCGGGAAACGCGTGCCGTACATCCGGGCTCAAACGTTGAGCCAATTGCTGGTCTGATGGGAGGGTTTTTCCTATTTTTTGTTACTTTTTATCTGGGCGTTGGCGTACCTTTCTCGGGGTGTCTGCGTAATTGCCCCGACTTACCTTGGTTTGGTCAGATGACACCTCCTCTGGAACTGGGTAGCCAGCGTTCATGTCTACATTATTGATCTCGTCGTCCCCTGTGTGAGTCACTCACCTGTGAGCTCCTAGAGGTCAGGGAATGAATATGGTTCCGTGGGGTCATCTGGCCCTCGGAACGCTAGTACAAGGCCCACTACTCAGTTGGCTCTTAATAAAATCTGTGAAACGAATTATAAAGTTGTTTTCTACTAGACCCTGTTGGGACACCAAGAAGCCTTCGTCGGTAGCTTAACTTGGCTACGGTGCCCGACCTGGAGGAAGGCGAAAGGGTTGTTAGCGTGACCAGACTCTGGTGACCTACACTGAGAAGCTGAAGGGTCTCTTAAGCTCTGCGGCCGGAAGCCATGTGCTTCTGCGGTTTATACAATAGCAACTTTATCAGAAGTTACTTTTCTGCACACTAGCGTGTGACGTTAATTTGTCTTCCTGATTCATCAAAGGGAGTTTCCGTTGCAGTTGGTGATGCCGTGGGCCTCTCGCATTTCTTTTTTCCTTTCATCCATAACAATCAAGGAACGATTTGCAAGAACACCCTTTACCCCTGGGAAATAAAGCATCCAGGGCTAAAAGCCCCAGAAGAAAGAAGCTGGAAACAAGATCTGGGGATTCAATTTTAAATTTCACATTAATCATTCAGTTAAACTGTAGACAAGTGCTGAAGTACATTTTTCCTTCCAGTACTTTGACTCAGATACCACTTCATATTAGACAAATGTTTTATGTTCTCTACTGAGTATTTTACATTTTCATAGGGCTAATGTCATTTTCAGTTGTAACAATCGATTGGCATAGTGTCAATGGAAATTTTTTCAGATTGAGTTTGCAGTGAGCAGACTTTTGGAAGGAACAGTGCTGACATCCAATGGATGCTCAAAGTAATACAGAGGAGAAATCTTTCAAAAAAAAATGTACAGACAGTGGAATGAAGAATGAATTGTTCCTTTAAAAAAAAAAAAAAAGCCACTGTGGGCTGGATGTGGTAGTCCACCCCCGGAATCCCAGCGCTTTTGGATGCCAAAGTGGGAGGATCCCTTGAGCCCACAACTTCCAGACCAGCCTGGGCAACATAGGGAGACCACCCTCTATACACAAAAAATAAAAAACAAAAATAAATAAAAATAAAGTTTTTAAGCCAACTTAGTGGCGTGATGGCATGCACCTCGGGTCCTAGCTACTCTCGAAACTGAGAAGGGCAGATCGCCTGAGTCCAGGAGTTCCAGTTGGAGGTTACACTGAGCTATGCTAGTACCATTGCACACCAGCCTGGGTGACAGAGAGCTTGTCTCTTAAAAAATTAAAAAGACTACTGTGTTGTAGAGGAAAGATCGCAGACTTTGAAGTCTTCTATTATAGTAAGTAGCAAAGCTACCAATTAATTATAGCAAGTTGCTATTCCATGAACCTATTTCACCATTGGTAAAAAGGGAGGGGGAAATCTACTTCACAGGGCCATAATTATAGTTCCTTACTTATTGCCTTTTTATAGTAGGCCTTTTGTAAATGTTTCATTCAAGGTGAATAAATCACAGTGGTTAAAAAAAGTGAAGAGTTAACCTCAGTGTCACTTTCCAGAGAAATTGCTATAAGGCAGTGTATCTAGACAGGGATTATGCTTAACTGAGATGCACACAGTTTAACATCCGGTATCAAACCTCGCTTCCTTCTTTGTGACCCCCCTATAGATGTTTGCTTTTTGGACCACTAAGTAAGCCAGGCCCTGAGAATCCAAGCATGAATCCACTTCTGCCCTACTTTTAAGGATTTATAATCCATGCAGGAAAGCAGATAAGCATAATTTCTGAATAAATAAAGACAACAAAATGAAATGGATGCTGGTCAACTCTGATGGAAATTTTAAGAAAGAGACTATGCCTCTCTGGTTCCCCAGCTTCACAGAAAGAAAAAAAAAAAAAGGTAGATGCTCAGTTAGAGTGGGGTACCTACACTTGGAAAAAACGCAAGTGTAAGTCTGCCATTCCTGTGAATCCAAGATGAATCCTGGCACAGAGTAGGTCCTCAGGTTTTGCAAAATTAATTTTGAATCTTTATCACCCTGGCCAATGCACTACCATAACTCAAATCTCACTATCTACCTTTCTATGTCAATTCCATTTTTAAAACTGTATAACCTATAGAGAAAAAAAAAAAAAAAAGCTCACCAAATCAAAAGAGAGGAAGTGCTAAGCAAATACAGGAACCAAAAAGGGTTATAGAGGCTGCCTTATGCTGTCTCATCCAGTTCCTTTGCGGTCCTCTTCTTCAGCACATGCCAAAGCCGCTCCTCACGGCCTGTGAGACAAGAGCATCTTGGATGTAGGACAATGGAAGAATTAGGTGAGTGAGGAGCTTCTTGGAGGAGAAACTCTGAGGGAGTGAAGACTTGGCTGCCATCTGCGTGTGTGGTGGGGTATACTTCTGGTTAGACTGAGGGTAGTAATGGAAGATTTTATTTTCACTTCTCTCTTGTCCTCAGCCCTGCCAAGAGTGAAGCATGAGGAACTATGATTGTTTTGGGGAACTGTGGGCTCACTGTTTGCAGTGGCAAAATAGATGGAGAGTTTGGTGCTAACCGCAAATACTTTTGGCAAATACTTTTGGCAAATACTTTTGGACTGGATTGTGATTGAAATTGCTGTTTTATTATGGGCATTTTGCCCTTTGGAGTTCACTGGAGATCATAGGATGGCCACATAGCAAGACAATGCAGAGATGTGATTTGAGGAGGAAAAGAAAGAGCAAAAAAGGAGTTGGGGTGTTATGAGGAAGAAAAAATGGACTAAAAGTGTAGGGATGAGGGATCTGTAGAGGTTGGAAAAAGGACAGAGTGGTTTCATTTGTTCCATGTTTTAGTCTTAAATCAAGAAGGCATAGCACTCTAACTCTAGTGATGTTGTTGCTAAGCTTTTTATTCAGAAGAATTCTGAAGGAAGAGATTATTATGGCCTGAAAATATGACACCTCCTTCCACTCCAAGGCAATTAAAACCAACAGTGGAACTATTAGCCACATTATCCAGAGAGATCCTGGATTTCAAACCTTTGGAGTAATGTAAGGTTTGTCATTCTTGGGACTCGTTCCATAGCCTTTGCCAACACTGTTGCCAGCATCTAACTAACATTGAGTCACTCAACTTTACCCAATTTCCAAGCTGTATTAATTCCACAGTGTCCTGGTTTGGGGTGTGATTGGGGATGGGATATGTCAAAAGTGCAAAAAACAACAACAAAAAATATCTTGCACATTGTTACATTGTCTTAAAAAAATGGCGTGTGATTTCAAAGCTGGAGAAACAGGAAAAGTAAAGGGCAAATTACCAGGAGGCAAGAGATGTCAATGAAGTGAAAAAGGTAGTGTTTAATAACTATCAAACTGCTTTGGCGGTAAAGTCTATTTTGATACTGGGCCAGACTCTTTTTTGGACTCCCGGTAGAATCCAAATTCTTATCCTGCGTAAGTGCTGGAAGAATGTGAATTTCTGCTTGCGTTCCACTAGGGCTAGGGCCTTTTTTCTTTTTCGTTTTTTTCTTTTTCTTCTTTTTTTTTTTTTTTTTGGCGGGGAGGACACCGAATGGCTTTCATGGCAAATAATTCAAAAGGAAACTAATACTTATTTAGTGAGTCAAGCAAAAACGACATTTTTACATATGTTAATGATTTTAGTGTCTGCAGCAACCCTCTGAAATAGGTATTATCCACTTCTTTTTCAGATGAGAAAACTAAGAAAAAGAAAATAACTTTTTCAGTGTCATTGTCGGGAACACCTGACACCAAAACTAAGCAACAAGGTGCTCTCCTATTTTAGAAGTTTGTTGGTTCTGGTGTTCTGGCCAATGAAGTAACCCAGATTTAACAGAAATTTATGTTGTTTTGCATTTCCTGAGCAGGCTAGATGTTAGGTAAATCTTGTCCTGGAATACAGAAAGTACCAAGTAGCCTGGAAGCTAGCATTTGTGCAGATTATCCAGTTGGCTACATCTCCACAGGCTGTTGATGGCTACACTTCAACAGTTTCTTCGAATTGTCATCAGCCCAGTAACTACCCTTGAGACTTGGTGTGGATCTTTCTTCCTGCTGGCAGAGAAATTGCATCGAGGACGGGTTGGCTCAAGTGAGCAAATATTTCCTGTCTGCAGTAGTGCCTCAGAGGCTAGCAGCTTGTATCCACCCAGAAGGTTTTACCTAAACCCTCATTACATAGGCATTAGGCATGATAAAGAGGAACCAGGAGCAGATTCTGCCTCCGAATGAAATCCATGCAACCCATAGAGACTCCCAAGAGACCTCACTTTATTCCTTTCATGTTAATATTGATATTATTTCATCTCCACAGTAAAAGACTACAGAGAAGAATTATAGAGTCTTCAGTCTTGTACCCGCTTCCCCCGCCCCCACCCTCTAGGAATCCCATATTTGTCATACTGAAATTAGTCATCTTCAAATTACAAAATCTGGCAAAAGGCATAATAACCTCAGAGTGTTGGTGATATGCAGACTCATGAAACAGGAAGCGAAAAGCCTATAACTCATGACCCAGAAAGAAGAGTTTTGATAACTTTGGTTAGCTGGTGCTTCTGAGGGCAACTTCCTGCTCTTAGTGGTATGTTTTCCTCTCTCTTATAATCTTTATTTTAATTTTGAGCTCAGGAGGATCTTTAGCTTCTAGTTAGAGCAAAGCTTAGAAAATTGAAAAGAAAGAGGTTCTAGCTTAATTGAAAGATGCAGAACAAAAATTCAAAATTCTCAAATTGGTGTGGGGTCTGGCTAATAAAAATCTGAGGCAAAAAGTTTTCTTTCTCTTTCTACCTTAGTTATCCTTTCTTCTGACTCTTTTTTTTTTTGAGATGGAGTTTTGCTCTTGTTGCCCAGGCTGGAGTACAATGGCACGGTCTCGGCTCACCGCAACCTCCACTTCCCAGGTTCAAAATATTCGCCTGCCTCAGCCTTCCCGAGTAGCTGGGATTACAGGCATGTGCCACCTTGCCTGGCTAATTTTGTGTTTTTAGTAGAGACCAGATTTCTCCATGTTGGTCAGGCTGGTCTTGAACTCCTGACCTCAGGCGATCTGCCCGCCTTGGCCTCCCAAAGTGCTGGAATTGCAGGCGTGAGCCACTGCTCCCAGCCTATTTGTACTTCTTTTTTAAAACCTTCTATTATAAAGACATTTAAATGTGCAAAGGTAGAGAAAATAGTTTAATGAATTCTGATATACCCATCAACCAGTTTAAACAGTTTTTCATCAGTCTTATTTCATATATAGGCCCACCCATTCCTTTCACCGCTATAATTATGTTAAAACAATTTCAGATGTCATTTTATCTGTAAATATTTTAGCACTAACCTCTAAAATAAATAAATATGTTTATACATATAACTGTAATGCCATTGCCATAACCACAACAGCCTTAATAGTAATTCCTTAATATTGTGAAATACCATTATCACACCTAAAAACTTAACAGAATTACTTAATATTATCACATATCATTATTACACTTAAACAGTACTTACTTGATATTGTTTAATGTCCAGTCAGTGTTCAATAGTCTTGATTGTTTCATTTTTAAGTAGATTTAACGATCCAAATAAAGTTCATACACTGAAATTAATTATAAGTCTCTCGACTTTTTAATGCTATAGGTTCCCCCTCATCTCTTTTTTCCCGTTACAGTTATTCATTTGCCCTAAAGTTTAGTTCAGTTTGCTTATCTCTAAAATGGTACATAAAAGTCAACATTTTTGAGAAATGAATGATTATGAAAGCTCTGTAGATTTCATTTGTTTAAAAAAAAAAGGATTAGATCTCTTCTAATGCCATTAAGAAATATTCATTCCTCCAAAATCTAAAATAAATGAAAAATCTGGGTTTTTTTTTAAATGACCTGTGAAGTTTATTTTCCTTATGTGAGAACTTCAGATGTAGACAGGTCCTTAGATATAATATAATTCTGTGTTTAAAGTTCGAAAACTATAACGTGTGGTAAGAAATCCACTGGAGATCCACTAATGGGTATTGAGCCATAATTTGAAAAATACTGTTCTAATCCAATTGCCTTGTTATGTAGATGAGGAAACTGCATCAGAGAAGGACATGACATGCTCAAGATAACCCAGGAATACGTCTAAGACAGGAGACTGGAACTTCTAACTTTCAGTTAGTGCAGGGGCTAGGGATCAGATAGCCCAGATTCAAGTCCTGGTTCTGCACTCATGAGCTTAAGCAAATTATTTTTGTCTCTTTCTTGTGATCTACCAAATAAAGACAATAATATCATCTGCCTCAAAGTGTTAGGATGATTAAATGAAATGTGTACACCCCTGAGCACAGTGCCCGGCATGTGTTACTTTTTATTATTATTTATTTCATTATAACAGATAGGTACTAGTAAAAAAACACAAAAAACAAAAAACTACAAGAGTAACAAATCCCAACTATTTAAATTGCAACATCTTACTTGATTTTGTAATATCTCAATTTTCTCCCCATTTTTTCTCTCCACACCCTAAAAGACAGAATACTTATACCTTGCTTTGAGAATTTTGTTATGTGCTCAGGATAATTGTTAAGATTTAAGAAAAAATATCATTAGGATTAAGAATAAGTGTTATTTCCCTTGTATGTTTTGAAAAATGATGATATAATTGCTTGTATTTTTCTGATGGAAAAAAGCATTTAGGATTTTTTTCTTTCTTTCTTTTTTCTTTTTTTGTCTGTTTTTTTTTCTTCTTCTTCTTTTTTGGAGACAGTGTATCACTCCTTTGGCCCAGGCTGCTGAAGTGTGGTGGTGTGAACTTGACTCAACGCAGGCTCACCTAGGCTCAGGTGATCCTCCCACCTCAGCCTCCCGAGTAGCTGGGACCACAGGTGCACGCCACCATGCTGGGCTGACTTTTTCGTATTTTAATACAGACTGGATTTTGCTATGTTCTGGAACTCCTGGGCTCAAGGGATTCTCCACCTCAGCCTTCCAAAGTGCTGAGATTACGGACATGAGCCACTATACCCAGCCCAGTTTTATTTTTTCCAATTAGGGATATTTGTGGGCAGTCTACCCTAAATGAATGATGAAAATTAATACCTGTAGTATAAAAAATCAAATTATAGCATGAGACTATGAAATTGAATGCAACCGTAGAAAATAAGAAAAAAAAACACAATTTATGGAGGCATTAAACATTTCTTGATAGAATTCACCACATTCTTGAAGTGAAATAAGGAATAAGGGAAAGTATTTGAAAATAGCCATAACTGAAGAAAAGAAGGAGATGAATGTGGGCACAGTGAAGATACTTAAGGAGAAAATGACTTTAGAGAGTTAAATATTCTCTGTCATGATTCTCTTACTTCTTATGGTGTAGATGCCTTATTGGAAGAACTGGAACGCTCCACCCTTCAGGACAGTGATGAATATTCCAACCCAGCTCCTCTTCCCCTGGATCAGCATTCCGGAAAGGAGAGTAACCTTGACGAGACTTCAGAGATCCTTTCTGTTCAGGATAACACAAGTCCCTTGCCGGTAACTTTTCATTTATTATAGTCCTTAAACATGGATGTTTGAATGCATTTCTGAAAATTAATTGTATCCCACATAAAATGATATGAAAGAAGAATAATATATCCAAGAAAGAGAAAAAATAATGCCTTAATGTTCATCTAAAGATGTTTTTGGAAAGAGGAGGAGAATTGAGAAAATCATCACAGAGGAATGAGTTTGAGCTTTTGAGAACTAATTTTTTCTTTTTTTTTTTGAGACAGTCACACTCCATCTCGAAAGCTGGAGTGCAGTAGCATGATCTTGGCTCACTGCAACCTTCACCTCCCAGGTTCAAGTGATTCTCCTGCTTCAGCCTCCCAAGTAGCTAGGATTACAGGCATGCACCACCATGCCTGGCTAATTTTTGTATTTTTAGTAGAGATGGGTTTCGTCGTGTAGGCCAGGCTGGTCTCGAACTCCTGACCTGAAGTGATCTGCCTGCCTCGGCCTCCCAAAGTGCTGGGATTACAGGCATGAGCCATCGTGCCCGGCCAAGAACTAAATTTTTTCTAATGAGCACATGGTCACAGGCAGAGTATTGTCTGATTCACTGGGGATATTCTGTTACTGTGGGGGCATCAGAGATGCATGTTGCTATTTGACTGGAATGGTACTCAAGCCAGAGATCACCTGAGGAAGGCCAGGTGGCAGCTTAGACAAGTCTTCTCAGGGTGACTTTTTAGGGTCACCACTTCCCAGGTCTTATTTTCTGCTAAATAGATTAGGAAATTCAATTATTAGTTTACACGGAGATGATGAAGCTCTAGGGAATCAACTGAAGCTAACCAAACTGACAAGTGATTATATATATATTTGAAAAACCTAGGGCAGGTGCAGTGGCTCAGGCCTGTAATTTCAGCAGCTTGGAAGGCTGAGGCGGGAGGATCACTTGAGGCCAGGAATTTGAGACCAGCCTGGGCCACATGGTGAGACCCCCACCTCTACGAAAAATTAAAAAATGAGCAGGGTGTGGTGACACGTGCCTGTGGTCCCCGCCACTCAGGTGGCTGAAACAGGAGGATCGCTTAAGCCCAGGTGGTCGAGGCTGCAGTGAGCTATGATTGCACCACTCCGTCCCAGCCTGGGTGACAGAATGAGAGCTTGTCTCAAAAATCAAACAAAAAACAAAAACACAGAACTTACAAATCAAATTTATTAATTTATGGTTACAGTTAAAGCAATCAAGCAAAGCAGCTGTGTTTACTCATATATGCATTCTCTTCCTATGGATAAGTCTATATGGACGTACGTTATAATTAAAAGGTTGCTTGATGAGAATGGAATTAGTGTAAGATGAATTAAGTAGATGCTCTTCATAGCTGGTAATTTTGTACTATGATGTTTTGATTCGTCATTGTTCCCTATATGAAATAACCAGAAGCACAGACCTGAAATTTGAGCTCAGGGGTGGTTTACCCCCTAACTGTTCTTTTCTCCAAACACATACACAGTTTTAAGGATATGAATTTGTCTCTCTACTAGGGAACCATTGTCTTTGTCCTCAATGTTAGATTATAGCTGTAGGCTCTTAAGTGGTCTCCTGCCCTTTCCCCCGCTACAGTCTGTTCTCAAGCAGCCAGGGTCACCTTTAAAAACTAAAGTCAGACCCAGTCATTCTTCTACTCAAAACCCCACAATGACTCCCTATCTCATTTGGAGTAAAAGCCATAGTCTTAACGTCGATCTTTCTGGGGTGACCATATATCCTGGTTTACCTGAGACAGTCCTGGGTTTATGCTTGTTTTTGTCACATCCTATTAACTTTACTTTTTACCCCAGATTTGCGATTTTATTTAAAGTTTTCTTATCAGTATTTGCATTAAGTAAGCCAGTATGGCTTAACAGACCTCCTTCCAGCTTCTTCCATGGTCTCCTCTAGCAGTGTATAGAACACATATTCAGTGAACAGTGCTCTTTTTTTTTCCCCCCCGACATGGAGTCTCTTTCTGTCGCCCAGGCTGGAGTGCAGTGGCGCAATCTTGGCTCACTGCCATCGCTGCCTCCCAGGTTCAAGTGATTCTCCTGCCTCAGCCTCCTGAGTATCTGGGACTACAGGCATGCACCACCATGCCCAGCTAATTTTTGTATTTTTATTAGAGACAGTGTTTCACCATGTTGACTAGGCTGGTCTTAAACTCCTGACCCCAGGTGATTTGCCTGCCTCAGCTTCCCAAAGTGCTGAGATTACAAGCATGAGCCATTGTGCCCAGCCAAATTCTGACTTAATTTTGGTTGAATGCAAAAGATGGCTAGTGATAACTTGCCTTTTTTCTTGATTCCGTTCAGATGAAACCTAGCTAGCAGCAACCGTTCAAGAATTATATGCAGGTGCTGGCTGTTAAAGCTAAGAGCTCAAGCACAAGTAGTCAGAGATAGCTAACTCTTCTGATCTTCGATGGTAGCAGAAACATTTCTGAGGCTTTTCCCCCTGCTGGCCACTTGGCAAACCACCACTCGTGCCCTCCCATGGTTGTGTGGTGGGTGGCCTGTGAGATGCATGGAACCTCTCAGAGTCGGTAGAAAATGGGAGAAATTGTGGCTTAATGTCATACAAATTTTAGGAAATAGAGGCTAAGTAATTTTGCCATAGAGTATAGTGTAACCTAATTGTTTTATTAAAGCAGTTTTGTTATTATTTGTATATGTGAAGCTCTATTTGTTTTATTATATGGTAATGCCTTTTTAATTTTACAATTTTACAATAAATCCTTTCAGCAGTTAGCTCAAAACAAAACCAAAACAAAATGCACATGTTTAATTGTCTCAAGAAAGCTGATAACAAATATGCAACATGTGGAAAATATTTGTCAATATTTACCATGCACCATACAAGCTCACTATCCCTTTGAAAACCAGAAGGTACAAATATGGTGAAGAAGCTTTGGCATCTATTTCCAAAGTTAATAATTTAAGAAGAACATGCCTTAAAATGACTTCAACATGGCAGCTGCTGGAGGCCTATGTATATATCATTGTGAAGCACACTTTCGCATTAGTATCAAATAACTCACAAATTAATTTTGCTCATTTTCAATTCCACATTTTCTTGTCTTTGTAAGTAAGCTGGTAATAATTAATGAGTGATTTTCCTTTGCAAACCTTCAAATGATGTTTTTTATAATAGTGTCGTTAAAGGTCTCAGTTCAAAAATATATTAATTCCGAAATGTTTCAATTTTTTTTTATCTAATTCAAATAATCAAAATAAAATATGTGAGAATTTATTTCCTAGTCAAAAAGTGAAACATCTGACATTGTTAATGCCACTGTAAATTTAGTTGTAAAGCTCAACATTGAAGATAAACTGTTGTTTTGTTGTAAGAATAGGAATACAAATGTTAATAGAGCACGCATTGCGATAAAATATTCTTACCAAGTTAACAAGCTATGGAGCAGAAATGTACTTGGAATTGGTTGTAATGTGCACAAAATTTGTGACTGCATTCAAACAAGCTGCGGTATTCTGTCAGTCAAAATAGAAACAAAAAGTCAAAAAATATAAAAATAAAAAAAAACACACACACACACACACACAGATTATATAACTGATCTACAAAACTTTTCTGACAGAAGCTGATATCAAATACTACCATGCAAGGAAACATTTCAGAATTACTATATGTATATTCCTGTCTGTGTTGCATGTCGTCAATTGGATTTCGGGAATGCCTGAGCCTTTGAAAAACCACTTTGTAAAGCAACCCAAATTTAGATTGCATTATGTTCAAGACCAGTTGAAAATTTTTGATCGATTACTCAACGAATGTAGCATGAAAATTCAGCCTTTGAAGCTTTTAGCAAGTTACAATTATGTAAAATAAGGCTTGCAAAGGAAGAAGCTCAAATTTCTCCCTACAAAAGCCAAGAAGGAATTGAACAAATCAAAAGATGAAAGCAGATATGGTTTAATTATCTAATTTGACAATTGTGCTTCAGAAAAATCTTTGATGTATTTTGAGTTCTAATTTTATCTGCATAAATTTTTATTCTCCACCAAAATGGAGAAAAATTGTGAAAGTCTATGATTTTGCAATATCTAGATTTGGCAAAATGTTAAAACAATCACAGATATAGACAACTTGAAAGTTTTATCTTGTAAGAAAATTATTGAACAAAAGTGCTTTGAATGAAGGTAGAAAGACAGCACCTATGATGACATTGGCCTGAAATATTTACATATTTAATATAAAAAATGAAAAGATTCTTCATTTAGCAGAACTTACAGGTTCATCAGTATCTAGAGAACTTACAGGTTCATCAGTATCTAGAGAAACAGTATCTGTTAAAAACATTACAGTCTACAGTGAAGCATCAATTAAAGTTGTCCACAATTTCAAATATATTAACCATAAAATGAAATTTTAAAAAAAGATTGCAGTTTTGTAAAAATAATAACTTTTTTTTTTTTAAAAAAATGGAAAAAAACGCATGTTCCTAAAAAATGTCCACATCACAATGCTAGGGACAATAATATCTAAATAACCAATTAAGGTATGTGAATACATATCAAGAATAATTATCTGTACCATTTAAAAATACTCAGATAATCAATTTTTTTTTTTTTTGAGACAGAGTGTCACTCTGTTGCCCAGGTTGGGGTGCTGTGGCACAATCTCAGCTCACTGCAACCTCTGCCTCCTGGGTTCAAGCAATTCTCCTGTCTCAGCCTCCCGAGTAGCTGGGACTACAGGCACCCATCACCATACCCAGCAAATTTTTTTGTATTTTTAGTAGAGACAGGGTTTCACTATGTCTGGTCACTTAAGATGAGACAGGTCACTATCTCTGGTCTCAAACTCTCCTGACCTCTAATGATGTGCCTGCCTCGGCCTCCCAAAGTACTGGGATGGTAGGCGTTAGCCACCATGCCTGGCCAATATTTTTTTAAAGTTGCTTGAATGTTCACAAGTTTGTATCACTTTAAGATATTTCAGGAAATTTTTATTTTGAAAATAAATTTTGGATAGAATTATCTTATAGCTCCACTAATATAATAAGACCAAATTCAGGTCAATAAACATATTTTTTTTTTTTTGAGATGCAGTCTCACCCTGTCACCCAGGCTGGATGGAGTTCAGTGGTGCGATCTTGGCTCACTGCAACCTCTGCCTCCTGGGTTCAAGTGATTCCCCAAGCCTCAGCCTCCTGAGTAGCTGAGATTACAGGTGCGCACCACCACTCCCAGCTAAATTTTTGTATTTTTAGTAGAGACGGGGTTTCACCGTGTTAGCCGGGATGATCTCGATCTCCCGACCTCGTGATCCACCTGCCTCAGGTGCCCAAAGTACTGGGATTACGGGCGTGAGCCACCGTGCCCGGCCAATAAACACATATTTTAAAAATGATATAATATGACTACTTTTGGAACCCCTTTTCTTTCTAAAAAATATCCCAGTCTGAGCATTTGGTGACGTGGCCACCTCATCTGCATGATTTGGCCCCTTCACTTGCTGCCCCTGTGTCCCTGGTTCACTCTGCTCAGGCCACACTGTCCTTCTCGTGTGTGGTTCCACAGAAGCTCCAGGTGCTTTTCCTGATGGCCTTTCCACCTGGATCATGTGACCCCAGATATTTGCTTTCTTTCCTCACCTCCTATATAAGTCCTTGCTCAAGCGTCCTCTTCTCAGTGAGTCCTTCCCTGGTCAGTATATTTATAATTGCCGTCTCCCCCCACTTCCCATCTTCTATCCAAAAGATTAATTTTGCATATTAATTTCTTTATTATCTGTTTTGCACCACCGGAATGTAAACTGCAGGGCTTACAGTTTTGATTTGATTGTTTTGCTTTTTGACTGCTACATCCTCAGTCCTGGCACATGACAGGCCCTCAATACATATTTGTTCAATAAATAAATGAATTGCCGGCCAACCACCTTTTAGATTCACATGTTATTTCTTTTCATATGTCAAGTTTAATAACATTATAGTGTCCCCCTAGGCACCATCCTGTTTAGTTAAAGGAGCTTAGCTCTGACCCATTTTATTTGTTTTATGGTTCTGATCTAAGGAGGATCAACTACTCTATTTCGGTGGTTTTTAGGCAAGAAGGGTCTGCCAGTGTTTGTTCATATGCCAACTACTCTGTTTAGAATTTGGCTTTTCTTTGTGGGATGGCTGGTAATTCCCCTGGCTTGTGAAAGAAGAGCTCATAGATATGCCACTTGTCAGTCCCCTTTAAAAGCTACGAACATCTATTAACTATGGGTATTATTAAGCCTCAACATTCTGATAACAAAAATTTATTCTTTGCTCTTCTCTTGTCACTTACATATTTTAGGCGCAGCTCGTGTATACCACCAATATCCAGGAGCTCAATGTCTACAGGTATTTTTTTTTCTATTAAATGCTTTCAAAAATTAAAGTTAGTAGATAATTGTTATCAATCTTTGTTTGGGTGATAATTTGTTTTGCAAGTGTTTATTATTAGAACTCCCATATCATCCTCCTCTTTCCGTAGTCTTTGAACATTGGTAGAATTCTGCAAAGCTGACTTGACAACTTCTCAAGGTGCCTGGCTTCTGGAGGGGTTGTCTAGGCTAGTGGGCCCTGCTATGTCCGTTACCACCTAAAAAAGTGTAAATACTCCCAGAGTTACCACAGATGTTTTGTCCACACTATTCCAAATGTTATGCTTCAGTTTCCTGAAAGATAAAACACACCTGAAGAAACGTCAGCAAGATTCTAGCAATGTCAAAGCTAGGATGAGGGTTAAACTAAGACAGTGGGTCTCCATGGCCAACTGATGAGTATTTACTTTTTCTTTCCATATTTGCTCAAAATTTATATAATGGGTAGAGGGATTTCCTTTTATGAGAAGTTCCATATTGAAACAGATACACTTACTAAATCATTTCTCCTGGCTAAAGCAGAATTGGCAGTCTGAAAAAATAAAAAGGTTAATTTACTTATTCTCTCCTTAGTTATAGCTTGCAATTTTTAACATCAGACAACTTTCTGGAAAACAAATTAAAGGGCATAAAATATAGATAGTAAAGATTCATGCTTGGGAAAGAGTGCTAGACCACACCTTATTTGGTTTCAGGATTGCAGTCAGTAGTGCACACATGCAAGGCAAAAATAAGGCAAGAACTGTGCTACAAGAAGTTTTCTTAAAACTTCCCTCTTAAAGATGGTTTTTACTTTGGTGAAGGTGAGTTCAATTTATTGATACATATTGCCAGTTTGTTCTAGTTCCAAGGATGTTGCCAGGTGAGAATTCCTCCTAGTCCTTCCCCAGTCCCTGAAACCCCAATGAAAAATAAAAACAAAGCAAAACAATAACAAAAAGTGGCTGGCACACAATAGGTTCTCAGTAAATATTTGGTTTCTTAAATCTAGGAAACCGAGACTCCAATAGAAATGCGAGTGAATGCATGAACATATAACATGAAAACTAGCCCAACCAACAGCCTGTATATCTGGCACTGTGATTAATTGATGCTCTGCCAATACTAACTTATTGACACTCTCTTCCTCATAGTATGGGCCTTTCTGGCCTATTTCCCATGATTTCCTCCTTCTCTTGCTCTATATTCCAGGGGAGCTGACCCCTTGGGTTTTCCAGGCTCCAGGATCCGTTGGTCCTCATTGTCTTCAACCAATGGGAGGCACTGTGGAAAGACTGCAGGGTAAAAAGCAATGAAATCCAGGGCATTTCCCCGCCAAGTCGCTCTATTTCCATAGGATCTCTGTCAGCAGCTTTATCTTCTTTATGACTTCAGCTGGAGCACAACAGGTCTGCTGTGGTTTCAGCTTCTACCTGTTGACTTGGGCCCCTAGTTCTGGTAACTTTTCCTCTTTTCTTTGTCCCTTTGGCTTAGGGGTAGTAGTGACTTCTGGGTTACTCAGTGTCTTCTGTTTTGCTTCTTAGCTCTCCCCTCACCTGTGTAATTAAGTTTCTGGACTAAATTCTTTCTGTGTACTCATGTAGTTTGTGTTTTCCTGACTGGCCTTTGAGGTACTCCCCATTACTGAATGATACTTGCTGTGTAGGCAGGCCTCTGTGGGAGAGTGGCATAAAATCTAGGTGACCTAGTAAATATATAATAGATAGATGCACATCCCTGAGACTGGTGTCACTCTGAGCTGGCAAGAATAGCATATAAATGGGATATTAGACACACAAACTATATTCCTGCATTCTGTTTCTTCTATTTACTCTGGCTTGCTTAAATGAACTAAACATTGCTTTTAACATACCTTGAAAGTATTTTCAATACTAGATCTGAATATAACAATGGAATAACATTTCTACTATAGTTACACATCAATAGCAACATGAGCAATAATTTAGAAATGTATCTTTTCCATAAACAAAAATAATTCTGCTAATAATCGAGAGGAACAAGTCATAAAAATATAACAGAGAAATAAGTAGGGGGAAAAAACTCAGCACAATGAAGCCCCTTGCTTCAGTCTGGATTCTTTGAGATGCATCTTTTGTGATTTGTGTTACTGAAATCTCTGAGCAATGAAGTAAGTTGCTGCTGATGACATAGCCAAGCATCTTTACTATCTTCAAAAGGTCAGGGAATGAATCAAAGGCTCTTCTCTTTTCAGGAATATTTCCTGCAGCAGGCACTTTAATTTGTAATCATTAACTATTCAAGGTCTCTCATTTCTTATGTAGAATTTTATACTGTTTACTCAATAACTGTTGGAGTATTGTAACAATGATCTGTTTCCCTTTCTACACTGCACTAGGACTCTAGTGAAAAACCAGTGGGAATTCTTTGAATAAGCACAAATTTGCCCCAACTGTGAGATGGGACGGTTTTTAGGAATATACAAGCCCTGCTAAGAAACTGCATTTATTCTACATTTGGGCACAGGGCAGCAGAATGTGTTCACAGTCCTGCTGCCTTTTGTATTCCCAAGCCATTTGCCTGTGGCAGCACCTACCAAGGGATTATGACTGACCGAGCTGTGAGAAAAAGCTCCACTGTATCTTCTTGGAAACATCTAAGATGGATTGAATCAATTACTTGCATACTTGACCATTTTTGCTCTCAGATTAAAATAAAAAATCTTGCATCTAGTAGAGGGCAATGTTGTACCTAAAAGATAAATCTTTTATCTTAAGAGATATCCATTTTCCTCTTATATTTTCCTTGTTGTTAAATAATCAAAAATAAGTGAACATGAGACATGTCGTATCCAAAAGATAGTCTTTTCTTCTTAAGAGAGAAAAGTATCCACTTTTCTTCTACTTTTTTCCTGGCTGGTAAATACATAAAGATAAGTAGTAAGTGTGTGTTTTCATTTTTGAAAATATATTTAGTGAAAGACAGAATATCTACTTTTATTTATGGCTTTGCATCTTTATGCAAATGAGAGAGAAAAGGCTTGAGTGGTCGTGAGACAGAGGGTTTTGGTTTGGTGGGTTGTTAGCTAAGCTTTGTTGATTAATGTTGATTAAAAACATGATTCCACCTTTTTATACCTTTTGACCCAGTTATTTCACTTCTTAAAATTTACTCTATATAAATGATCAAACATGGGTGCAAATATTTGTTTAGCAGTATTGACTATAATAACGACAGAAAACAATCTAGGTGTCCAACAATAAATTATTGGTTTAATAAATTGTATAATACATTATATATTTGAAAACCATATAGCCTTTAAACATTATTTTGGCAGATAATTCAGGACAGACAGCACAAACTTTGCAGTTTGCAGGCCCAAGCTCTTTGTTACTTGCCAACTGTATTATGTACAAAAAAGTTTTTAACTTCTCTAAGCCCCAATTTTTTCATTTGGAGGTGACAATACCTAGCTCTTAAGGTTGTCATTATAAAAGATTTAAAGAGAACCTGTGAAAAGCTCTGCATGGAGTGTCAGGCATAGTGTAGATAGACATTCAATAAATGCTATCTATTATGGTTGCAGAAGATAGAAAAATGTTTGCATAAGAGTAGGAAAAACGTATAATTTGAGTTTTCTAAAATTACACACAGTCATAGTTAAGTGTAAGGGTATCAACCGAAACGTCCAGAGTAATTGCCTCCTGAAAAGGGGATTACATGTGTTTAAAATTTTTTCTTTATATTTCTCTGTAGTTTTCAAATGTTCTACACTTAACATGTATTAATTTCATATTTTAAAACAATTTTAAATAGAAACCTCTACACCATGACTGTATTTATGTACTTTACTGAAGGTTGTTTGTAGAACCATTGTGTGTGTGTGTGTGTGTGTGTGTGTGTGTGTGTGTAATAACAGATATACAGGTGAATTGCACTACTGATGTCTCATCTGACACCTCCACTACTTCATCTGTTGGCCATGTGTGTTAGCTATTTTCCTAGTATAGATGATCTGTGTTTTGTTTTATTTTAAAAATATAACTTAAGATACAAAAGTATTTCATAAACTCATGTGCATAAACAGTTGCAGATTTTGGAAATGTATACATAGGGTGAAAAGTGAGACCACCCCTCTTAGAGTCTTTCCTCTCACCAACTCGTTACCAGCTCCACAGGTAACTGCTGTCAGGTTCTTCTCCTTACAGACTTATGTGTGTGCATATTCACACTTATGTACATGGGCTTATAAATTTACGTAAATGAAAGTATATTTTTTCTTTCTTTTTTTCTTTAATTTGAGACAGGGTCTCTCTCTATTGCCCAGGATGGAGTGCAGTGGTGTTATTTTGGCTCACTGCAGCCTTGACCTCCTGGGCTCCAGTTATCTTCTCATCTCAGCCTCCCAAGTAGCTAGGACCATAGGCACGTGCCACCACACCCAGCTAATTTTGAAATTTTTCATAGAGATGGAGTCTTCCTGTGTTTCCCCGGCTGGTCTTGAACTCCTGGGCTCAAGCAGTCCTCCTACCTCAGCCTCCTGAAGTGCTGGGATTACAGACGTGAGTGACTGCACCAGACTGGAAGTGTAATTTTCATATTGATCTGGGCTTTTGTTTTTTTACGTTAACAATGTATGTTGAAAGTCTTTCTTAGTTCACATAAATCTATGGCTGCTTAGCAGTTGCATGTTATTCTACAGCATGGATGAGCCATAGTTTATTTTCCTTTAGCTCTGTTGGTTTATTTCCAATTTGCTCATAGAAACTGTACCCTAATAAATGTCCTTGCATATATATTTATATATATGTCCAATTTTTCTGTAGGATAAATTCTTAGTAGCAAAATCGCTGAATCAAGTGGTATATGCATCTGAAATGTTGATAGACACTGCCTTGCAAAAGTGTTTATAAATTTACTTAACCACCTATGGTATATATAAATGTGTATGTGT